CATAGCTTTGTTTATTATCTTTCCCGCACCTTAAGAAAAAACTTGCTATACATTAAGCCTTTTAATGGAGTTGCTGAGACAATCATTTAAGCATTTAAAGTACATGGTCTACTTACTTTAGAGGCTGCAGTGGTTAGCCACTGGAAAACTAACCATTGGTTTTGATAAGATGGAGGGGTCTACATGTTATAGCTTATGACAGAGAATGGAAAATGTTTCAGTGAGACAAGCTGGCATTTTAAGTTGGAACAGAATAATAGCCAGAAGTGCTGAAGTCAACAGACTTCTTAGAAATATGGTTACCATCTGCTGAGAAAGCCTTTTAGTGTGGCCACAGACACGCGCTTGCGACCACAGTCAGTTCAATTTTTCCTTCATTGTGGGACTATGACCTCAATTGACGCCAGTGAGAGCTGTATACTTCCAGAAAGGAGATTTAGGTCATCCACAAATCCAGAACAAGTGGAAGATAGGTGCATAAGCAAGTTACAGTAGACTTACACATTGCACAGTGTTGATCTTAATCTTCTGGAGGTGCCCTTAAATATCTTTTCTCCCCTCCCCCAAAAATTAGCCACAAGAAGAAATGATCATTGGTTTATACAACTTGAGTAACAAGGTAAGTGAGAATGTGGAAGAGATTCTTTGAGATGATATTTAATTTGTGAGTTGGACAATATTAATGAAATGACCATGAGACCAAGAGGAAAAAAATTCAAGGAAAAGCATCAGCCAATGGAAAAAGTTATATTCCTCATAAACAAAAGAGAAGTGGCTGACTTTGAGAAAAGTCCTATTTCTCTCTGGGACTTGTGGTCTTCATTTCTAAAACAAGAGATTTGGATTAAGTGTACCCAAAGAAGTTTTAAAGTTCATAGAAATAAAGAAAAATTAAAATAGGCACCAGAGGGCTAGAGATGTAGTCAGTGGTAGAATGTATGTCAAGCCTGGGTTTGATTCCTGTGTGTATAAATAAGTAGGCAACAGGACCAAATGTAGTTTATTTATAAAGATGGCATCCCTCAGGGTGTTTCAAATATTGCAAACAGGATGGAATTATTGAGAAAGAGAAAATTGTTGGCAAAAGAACCAAATGAAACCAGGGCCTAAGTGCAGTAAGTGGAGGGAATAGTGTGGGGTGAGAGTCTTTCTTATTTGATGTTTTCTTCCTTGTGGAAGGAATGCACTAGCATAACGCTACTCTCCTATGACCGTATTTCCTCTAAGAAAGGTGGGGTGACTTAGTCTGACATTTTGGCATGCTCTCCTCATCTCCCTTTCGCTTTGGAGCAGCAGCCATGACCACAGAGCATTCCTACTCTTCCAGACTTTAAGTCTTATCCTGGCAGGCCTCCATCTCTTGTGGGAGTTTTGGCTTTTTCCAGCATTGCCAAATGCCCGTATGGATGGGGTCATCTCATTTGGGGTTCATTTTCTAGGTGCCTTTGACTTTCACTTTAGCTTTATCAATAAGAATTTCTCTGCTGTGTTGTCAGGATGTTCAGAATTTTGATGGGAAAGAAGAGTACTATTTCCTCTCTCAAGCCCCCAAAAGTTGGGATTCAGAGATAGGATTAGCTTTGTTGAGAAGGAATATTGTTCCTTCTGCTTTAGGAAGAGGCAATAGTTTAAAAGATCTGGAGGAACTTTGAGGTATTACTGCATTCTGGACATTCAAAATCATCTCACTAAAGTAGGGGTTCAAATAATCAGCTGAGAGTGAGTCAGCAGGCGTAGGATTGGAGTTAGAAGGAAAGACCACAGGATCTCCAGACCAGTGACAAGCACATAAGCATTTAAAGTACACACCCACCTGGGTGTGGTGGCATACACAATGCTGGCTACTCAAGAGGCTGGGGCAGGAGCTTGGGGCCAGACTGGGCAACATAGATCTTGTTAAAAAACAAACAAACAAAAACTTCCTCATAGAATGCATGTTAGAAGCAACAGTGGTTAGCTACTGAAAGCTAACTACTGGTTTTGATAACAAGGGTTTTGATAACCAGCTTGACAGGACAGGGCTCTAAAGCCCAGGACTGTTCTTTGCCACCATGGATACAAGTGGTAAAAATTGCTCAATAGAACATAATGTATCTTAAATTATACACATTTTCGGAAGTAAATGAGTCTGTTAGGGTTATAATGAATGGTTTTATCTATTTTTCTTCAGATGTGGTAGTTTAGCACTCCTAGTGTTTTTCTCTGTCTCTCTGTCTCTCTCTCCCTCTCTCTCTCCCTCTCTCTCTGTCTCTCTCTCTCTCTCTCTCTCTCTCTCTCTCTCTCTCTCTCTGTGTGTGTGTGTGCTATTAGCAATTGATAGCTTCTGGGAGAGGGAGACTCGATTGTTTTCAAGGGTGTTAGGTTGACCAGTTTCCAGGGGAAGGACCTATACACAAGCATTTGGGAAACACAAATTTGAGTTAACAGACCTTAAAAACAATCCTATATTATTTACATGAAGTAAGGTAGTGGGAATAGGGAGGTGGGGGTGAATCTGAGAGGAGATGGGAGAGAGGGTCTGAATATGATCAAATACATTGTGTGAAATTCTCAAAGAATCAGTAAACATATTATTTTTTAGAAGTTTTTCTTCTTTTTCTTAAAGCTGAATGATTCCTGGTGTGATGGGTCATGCCTATAGTCCCAGCACTCAGAAAGCAGAGGCAGAGGATTGTTGTGTGTTTGAGGCTAGCATGGACTACAAAGTAAGTTCAATGTGTGGCTACAATATGTGTGAGAACCTGTCTTGAAAACCAAAACAAATTTAAAAAGCCCAATCAACCAAATATCATTTGTTAGCTTCTTCAAACACAGAGAATAAAGTTTTTTTTGTTTGGTTTGTTTTTTGTTTCTTGGTCTTTTTGAGACAGGGTTTCCCTGTAGCTCCAGCTGGCCTGGAATTCACTATGTAGACCAGACTGGCCTTGAACTCAGAGATCCATCCACCTGCCTCTGCTTCCCGGGTGCTGGGATTAAAGGTGTGCACCACCATGCCCAGCTAGTAGAATAAACTTTTGACATCAATTTCTCATTAATAGATACAGTTGATAACTGTATCAAAGATTATTATTCATTAAATAGTGAGTTCAATAGTCATCATGTGGAAAGTAATATACCCTAGCTTATCCTCTGTACCCATGGACTTTTCTAGGACCAAGAGAAAATCCAGATTATTCATAAGAAATCTCAAACTGTTCTTTGTATCCTGATTTATTTCTGTTTCTGTTGTGTTCAAATTCATTACGAAACCAGGCCTGTGGCCCATTCCTATACTCCCAGTACTCAGTAGGCAAAGGGTAGGATGCTCACTGCAAGTCTGAGGTAGTTGAGCTGAGGTGTGGCAGGAGAATAATGATTTGGCAAGTGGATATGGGAGGCAAGAGGCAGGAGCATTCTCGGAAAGCAGGATGTAGAAGGAGAGTGCCAGCTCAAAAGGCAAGGAAGTTAGAACAGGCTATCTTCAGGAGATATGAATGAATGACTTGAGCAAGCCTTTGGTTAAAGGACCAATTACAAAGGCAACGTCCTGTAGGAGGCCTCACTTTTTTTTTCAATCATTATTTATTTATTTTTAATTTTTAATAATTACATGATTAGAAGAAGCATTTCATTACAGCATTAACATATTCAGTAACACATTTCAGAGCAAGAGTCCATCTCTTTCACAAGTGGCTGTAAGTTTCTAGATTCACAGTTGAATTAATACAATTACACAATATTGAACTCAATATAAGCCCTGGAGGCTTCACTTTTTAAAGGTAGATGAGATGCCAATGAGGAAACCATGTGTGGAGAGGAAGAAACTAAAAATTCAACTGAATATTTTGCTGGAAGGAGATTCTAGGAGGAAAGGAAATCTTAAGATCTAATAGGGAGGCCGATGAACTCAGAAGGGAAGTGAGGAGAAATTAAATAGAAACAGGGGCATAATTTGCTTGAGAAAGGCAAATGATGTTTGTAGTTGATAAAGGAGACCTTCCTGTTAAAGATACAAAAGTACTTAAAATATCAACTCTGTCAGCATTTAATTTCCTTTCCCCTGCCATTTGTTTTCCAGTTTTTTGGTAAAAGAATAAAAAAAGAACAGCAAATACTAAAGGAAATGAGGCACTCATCAGTGATTGAAATAATTCAAATAATTTTTCTTTGAGCTGTATTGCTATTATATAACAAAAATACATTTGATTCAGAACTTTTATGAAGAACTTGCACATTTTATTGTAACATCTGTTTCTACATTTTAATTTCTCTCCTTCCTTTGATAGGTATTTGCATACTTTTTTTCAAATAAGAAGACCTTTTGTTTGCCACAAGAAAGCTATTATCCTGAATGTTAATGGGTTTTCAGCTATTAAGATGTAATGATGTACCTTGAGTATTTAACTATAAATTTGAAAAATCTCCACAAGCAATCTCAAAGGAATACTTAGAATGCACTCCTAGTAAATTGGCTCATTTTCCCGTAATTTACTGGAAGTGCTGATATGAGAGCGTCCTGATGTGAAAAGCATTAATCCCTGGAGTTACATTGTGTGTATTAAATTATTACTCTCAAAGAATAAAAATGTATGAGGCCATTTAGCCCTCATTCACACTTGTTACTTAGAACCGCAGTAGAAAAACAATCACTTATCTTTTCATGCACAAAATTAGAAGTGATATTTAATATCTTTTAAAATAAGAGGCACAGTAATAGTTACAGTTTTGCATAACAATTGCTGTGCTCTTTTCCAAAACAAGGACTGTTTTAGTTAGTAGCATGATTCTTCTGGTTTTATAGAGGCCCATTTTATTCCACTGGTAATTGAAATATTTTTAGAAGCCTGTAATGTAGCTCCCTTTCATGTCAGTCAAAAAGATTAGTCTGCCTTCTAGCCATGAGCATTTACTACATTGGGGGATTGCTGAGTATGATAGTCAGCTTGCAGGAGCTGCAGTTGCAGGAACATTTAGGGTCTTATTTGGAATTTTATCTAATCTCATTTTTTTTTCTTTGCCAGGGGACTGAAAGTTGTGGAGACAGAACTTGTGACCGCAGGTGCTTATTTTTTGATAAGCAGCTGTTTTGTGATTCTGGAAGATTAAGGCAGAGTAGGACGCCCCACCCCAGGTTTCAGCAAAGCTGTCTACCTGCAGACTACACCATGGACGTCAAGCTGGATCCTTCCCGAGACGATCTGCCTCTCCTGGCCAACACCAACCATATGCTTGTGAAGCACTATGTACTGGATTTAGATGTAGATTTTGGAAGTCAAGTCTTTGAGGGGACCATAGTACTTTTCTTAGAGGACAGAAACAGATTTAAAAAACAGATGCGTTCCACCAAAGAAACCTTCCAATCGAAGTCAGAGGAAGCCTACAGATTTAGGACACCTGAACCCTGCCATGTTCCTGAGAGAGATGCATGGGCCTTCTCATCTAAGATGGGATATAATGAATTTGCAGTCTGCAGTAAAGGTGATAAAGGTGGTAGCCATGACGACCAGGAAGCGGTTTCTGAGATCTCTGGCTCAAAGTACTGCTGTGACAAGGGGAATCATGGGAAAGAAGATTTTTTGCTGGTGTTGGACTGCTGTGACTTATCTGTGTTAAAGGTTGAGGAGGTGGATGTTGCTGCTGTGCCAGGTATTGAAAAATTTACAAGGTCTCCCGAGCTCACAGTTATTTATGAAGAGCTCAGAAATGAGATTGTTCATGAACTTGTGACTCTGCCTGCAGATCGTTGGAGGGAGCAGTTTGACTATTACACTCTCTGTAGCCAGGCTCCTAGCTGTGGGGAACTCTTCTTTGACATTGACTCTTGGAGCTTACAGATCAGGAAGACAGGGGTTCAGACAGCTGCTGACTTTCCTCATGCCATCAGGATATGGTACAAAACTAAATCTGAGGGGCAGTCAGTTACTTGGACCTCAGACCAGAGTGGTAGGTAAGTTATCCAAGTGCTCTTCTGTCCCCTAATCTCATGGGAGGGAGGCTTTTTAACAAGAGACCAAGTCTTTGGAGATGCTCCTATTTATTCTATGGCCTTACCCAGATAGACTCTGATCCAGAGAGCCGGTAAATTACCAGGCATGCTGAACCTTTAACAGGAGTACATCCTATAAGTAAGGATGAAAAGATTATTTGATTCAGCTCCAGTATTTCAGGGTTAGGATATTGAAAAGCCAGCTTAATGATGAAATCCTGAGCCTGGCATTGGTTGAGCTCACTGGTCATGACTTCTAGATCTGCTGATGGGAATGGTATGTCTCTGAGCAAGAATTTTCTCAAAATCCCTTCAGGCCCCACTTGTGAGATTGGAGGTTGTGAAGCTAGGCACAGTGCTTTCAAATAGACCTGCCATGCTGTGTGACTCTCTCAGTGTACCTGTTTCTTTCTCAGTAGCTACATCTCTGGACTTTGCCAGTTGTCATATGATGTGAACCCTGAAGCCCACCGAGAGCTACTTCTGCGTAGTGAAGGAGAAGCAGGTAGTCAGGCTAAGGCTGCACACCAGCTTCTTGGGGCATGACTCTTGGGATCTGGCACCAGGAAGACACCTGCCTTTTAGTGTTGGGGGAGTTGATGAGGCATTGTTTTTCACAGGACACAGACAGCTACTTAGCTGTGTCTTGTTGACTTTCCTCAAGCAGATGTCCACATTTTTTAGAACATAAGAATTTATAAATAAATCTTTACTCACCTTTCACTATTTTACCTATTTCTTTACCTTTAATGGTACTGGGAGTCATCGTGGTAATCATTGCAGAGCCTTGATGGAAGACTGCTGATCCAGTTGGCCGCCCTTGAGTGCATTCTCTTAGAGCATTGCCCTCCTTTGATGGAAGTGGCAGTCTCTGGCTGTTCCTTACATTTCTTCCTTACCCCCATCCCAAAGCCTTTTAGATTTGTTTTGAAAGTGCCACTTTGACTTTGAGGTCTAATTATCTCATTTTGCCTTTAATCTTACCTCTTGCTCTGGTTTCCAGCCCTCTCATTTCCTGCCTTATTTCTGCTAGAGTCTGAGGAAGACTTTGGGAAATCGTAGTTATATTAGTACAAAAGCTTAGTGACTTATATATAGAATAACCTTTTGGGTGTTCTTTGGAGATTGTGAGAGAAAAGAAGCAAGTTTCTTGTTGTAAATTCTTTTTTTAATCATTGAAGATTTTCAATAAGGTATAACCACATATAGTGTCACTGAATATTTAACTAGGAAGTTGTAGTTTTTATACTCAACATATATTTCACTTTCAAGCTAGAATAGTGGGGAAGAAGGAATGATTGACAGGATTGGAAGAAATTTTAGTGGCCTCAAACATGATATTCTGTCATAAGTGCTTATTACAAAGACAGACTCTAGACTTGAATCAAGTTACATGTAGAAGTATTGAGTGGAGATGAGTATGAACAAATGCTGGTTTCCATAAAGAGAGGTTGACATGGGGAACTTTGCTCTGGTCTCCTTTGCAGATGGTTCAGTGAATACATGATCACAGAAGGTGCCTACACTATGTTCCAGCTTATTAGCGTTAGTCATACAGTCTGAAGAGAATATAAGAAGCATTAATTTTAAGAAATATAACACTCAGAGCCCCAAGAGAAGTTCCCCACAAGAAGCATTAATTTTAAAAAGAAAGGCTACAAAAATGGTTTTTCTTTCATTTTCCGTGTGTCTGTGTGTGTGTGTGTGTGTGTGTGTAATATTTTACAAAAAAAAAAAAAAGCCTTCCATGGGACCACAAATCTCACTAAAATCTTTTTTTTAAACCTTTTTAATTGAATTTTTACAATTTTCATACAATATAATTTGATGGTATTTAGATCCCCTCCATCTGCACCTCCCCTTCCTGACCCCCT